CGCCCCGGCCGCACCTACCCCCGGCACCCGCTCCGCCGGGCCGGGCAGCCCCCGAGCTGACGGCATCGGGGTTCTCGGCAGCAGCTTTCTGAGCTCAATTTAACAACTTTTCATACTTTTTGGGTTCGTGCCTTCCTGCGAGCGTACTGGAGTAGACAGAGGATGCTCCCAGGACGACCACAGCTCCCAGCCACCAACCTTTCTGCTCTGCCCCATCCCATCTCACCTCTCTCTCCCTAAAATCTGGGCAATCCCAGCCCCGGCACCCCGTTTCCCAGCCCCAGGGTGGGTCTGGTGGCACCTATCCCCACCGATTACACTTGGCAGCTGCCTCCAATCTCCTTAACTCCCGCGAAGGCCGAGTCCCACGGGCTGCAGCGTTATCTCCGATGCCCCGCGAGCCAGCCTGCTTAGATCCGAAATACTCACCGCGTATCCCATGCCCCACACCATTTTCCTCTCCCTCTTGCACACACATATATACACTTACATGCAGACTTCTGTTAACCCTCTCTCATACCCTTTTTTCCTCTTTTATTTTTTTTATTCCACCCATCTGGCAGCTCATTTATGCTCCTGGAGGCAATTACGGCAATAAGTAACGAGGCAGAGGGAGCGGGACTGGTGTTGCTAAGGGGCTGCGTGGCAACTGGGGATGTGGCGCCTTCACCAGCACCGCGCGCAGCGTGGCACGGCCGCCAGCTCCTCTGCAGAGCCGGGGACAGCGGATCACAGCCGGGTGCAGGGCTGGGACGTCAGCCAGGGGACCGTGCACAAGCACGGTGTGTGCAGCCATGAAGGGACTGCACGTGGCCCCGGGCGATGGACGGTGCATGGCATTGGATGGCGCATGGGTGCATGGTGCTGGATGGTACATGGCATTGGACGGTGCATGGGTGCATGACGCTGGATGGTGCGTGGCGCTGGACGGTGCATGTCGTTGGACGGCGCATGGCGTTGGACGGCGCCTGGCATTGGACGGCGCATGGGTGCATGGCGCTGGACGGTGCATGGCGTTGGATGGCGCATGGCATTGGACGGCGCATGGGTGCATGGCGCTGGACGGTGCATGGTGTTGGACGGCGCATGGGTGCATGGCACTGGACGGTGCATGGCATTGGATGGCGCATGGCATTGGACGGCGCATGGGTGCATGGCGCTGGACGGTGCATGGCGTTGGACGGCGCATGGCATTGGACGGCGCATGGGTGCATGGCGCTGGATGGCGCATGGTGTTGGATGGCGCATGGCGTTGGATGGTGCGTGGTTGCGTGGTGCTGGACGGTGCATGGCATTGGACAGAGCATGGCATTGGGTGGCGCGTGGTTGCATGGTGCTGGACGGTGCATGGTGTTGGACGGCACATAGGTACATGGTGCTGGATGGTGCACGGTGTTGGATGGTGCATGGGTGCATGGCGCTGGATGGGACCCGCTGAAGCTGGACTAGGTGAAGCATGAGCCTCAGGGGGAGCCCAAATCTCTCCCTTTCTCCCCATCCCCAAATAACACCTTTCAGGGTGGTTTTAGGAACAGCTTGGGGCAGAACCTGACTTTTCTCCTTGTCCCCTTCCCAGTTGCTTGTCCCATTTGGTTGTCCCAGCCTGGGCAAGCGCCACACAGCACCCAGCGCCCCAGAGAAAGGCCAAAGGGCAGAGGAGAGGCCAAGGGCCGTGCATGCAAGGACAAGTCCCTGTCACCCGCATGCCTCAGTCTCATTTTGTCCCAGATTTGGACTGCACACCCTGGGATCAGTGCGACCAATCCATCCCTCCAGCCGCGGCTACGCCATGTGTGCTTACAGCACGGTGACATCCAGGAGGGAGGATAGAATCACAGTTACTGTAGAGTCATAGAACGGTTTGGGTTGGAAGGGACCGCAAAGACCGTCCAGTGCCACCCCCTGCCCTGGGCAGAGCCACCTGCCCCCCG